AAGGAAAGAAGGAAGGAAGGAAGGAAGGAAGGAAGGGAAGGGAAGGGTGGAGGGAGGGAGGGAGGGAGGGAATAAAAGGAAGGAAGGACAGGGAAGGAATGGATTTGAGACACCCTAGGAGGCAGGACAGAAAAGGATATTTAGGACTGATACGGTGATGGTGGGCTGAAGTGGGGAGCCTGAGAGTGGAGGTGCTGAACGTGGAGAAAGTGCGAGGCTCCCCTGAAACTGGAAAGCTGAGCCGTCCTCCAGATATGCTGATGCAGTTGGGGAGTAGGCAGCTGGCCAGGAAGGTAGGGCTTGGTAGAGGTCAGGGGTGCAAATTGAGAACCCAGCATCGAGGTGTATTGAGCTTATCCAGAATGTGTGCAGGTAGATGAGTGGCGACCAGACTCAGAACACCGCCGGCAGCTGAAGAGGCCTCATCAACACCTTGTCAGCTGTTTAGGCAGGTGGCAGGGTGGGAAGGTAGACCGAAGCTGGTGGGGGTGGTGGTGGAAGGGTGTTCTTAGAGTAAGGGGAAGGTCAGGAGAGAGACAGTGGGGTGAGTTTTGCTGAGGACACAACAGAGCTGAGCCAAGCCCTGGAGGGAGGCTTTATTTGTTTGTTTACTTTTGGAGAGCAAGTCTCACTATGTAGCCCAGGCTAATCTCAAACTCACAACCAGCCTGTCTCAGCCTCTTGAGTTTTGGGATTACAGATGTGTTCCACCATGCCTTTATTTTTTTCTTTTTAATATGGAACAACTTTAATTTTGTGTTCTTTAGGTGGGAAAGGCTAAAGAGCCCAGAGGAGGGAAGAGACAGTGCCAGAGTAACATATTTGAGAAGAGTGATGGTGTGGTAGGACGCCTTGTGGGAGGAAAACAGGATTCAGAACAGAAAGCACTTTAATTTGATGAGAGACAGCGAGGGGACCTCTGGGTTTCCTTATTTACTTAAATACAAGAAGAGGTGGTGTACTTAGCTGTGTGTCTGTGTGTATCTGTGTAAGTATGTGGAGGACTGTCTATATATGTGCCCATGTGAATCTGAGTCTGCGTGTGTGTGTTTGACCACATGAATGTGTGTGTGTGTGTGCGTGTGTGTGTGTGTGTGTGTGATCATGTAACGTGGTCTGGGTGTGTTTATGAGGACAATTGTGGTCAATGCGATTGTGTGTATGTGTGCTTTCATATGTTGCTGGTGAGGTCAGAGAATGCCTGACACTGACACCCCACTCATGGAGAGTGGAAAACAAAGCCCTGCTGGGGGTTGGTGCTCCTGCCCTTGGGCTCATGTCAGGGTGGGTGGATGGGGAGTGGGAAGTGGGGGGGATGGGAGATGCGGGGGTTCTGGGAAATTTGGCATTGGGAGAGATGTTTTCTTTTGAGGCTGGTGGGTTCCAGAGTAGCCTCTGGGATCTTCCCAGATACTCTGTAGAGGCAGCAGAATCTCATGGTTGTCAGGCTGGGATGCAATTCTTTCAGGCCTCCTTGGCTGGGGGCCGGTGTTGGGGTGGGGTGGGGGAGAACGCGATTCTAGTCACCTGGATCTGTTCAGTTGGAGTACTACTGCCACCTGGTGGTCTAGCCAGGGATACCCAGACTGTTGTTCAGGAGTAAGGACTTAGCCCCACCTGCTGGTAAATAGTGGTTCTGCACCTATTCGGATCACACATGTTTGAACCGGATGAGGTAGTCGGGTGGGGCCAGCACAAGAGGGAGGAGACCCAACAGACTGCTCAGGATGAAATTCCAGTTTTACCTCCTAGATAGCTCTGGCCAGACCTCTCAGTGTCTGAGTCTCCTCACCTGTAAAGCAGGCCAAAGCATGTGTAGACAAAGTGACTGGAGAGGTGTATTAGGCAATATACTTCCGGGCTGGGCACAGCAGTCCCGTCATTGTCAGGAGCACCTGACTCACTTGGACGCAGCAGGCAATGTGGCAAGGTCATCTAAGCCTAAGACTGCACTTTCTGACCTCTTCTCCCTGCCCTAGGCCTTACTTAGGACTTCTAGCTTCCTCCCACCCCTCTTCCTGAGCCCATCCTAGGGGTGAGAGAGGGGCTACAGTATCTGCTCCTCAGTGGCCTTTGAGCAGCCCAGCGCTGATCTCCTTCCACTTCAATCTCCTGGATGAGTCTCTTCAGCAAAGGTTCTCTGTGGATTAGGAGTCCCCTCCATCAGAACACCCCAGGCTCACATACTCTGTCTTCTCTCACGCCTGAGGGCCTCCCCTGGGGTTCTCCCAAGGCTTCTACTCATTCCTCACACAGGAGTCAACATGCTCACTAGAATAGTGATTGGTCCTGAGTGCTATTTAAACTCACTCCACCCTCAGCTCAGTCAGTCCATTCCTGGGCCCCTGTGCATCAACACCGAGACCTTGTGCCTACTTCTGGGCATGAAGTATGCTGGGAGGAAGTTTTCTTGATTCTTGGGTGAAAGGGGGCCCCGGGGAACATCATGAGAGGCAAGGAGAGGAGGTCACCTCCAGTCCTTGGACTCCCCATGGGTTTCTGTCCTCAGGGACAGGTTTACTGCCGAGAACGAAACTGTCTGGGGGAGGGTGCTGGGTGGTGGTCTTCCTGTCTGCTGCCTGCCTGCCTGTTGGGGTGCTTGGCAGTCCTGCTCAGGAGCAGTACAACCACATGGGAGGAGGGGACTTGTCCTGTCTGAGGTCAGTCCTGCTTTACTCACCCTGTCCACCTGTGTGGGTTTTGAATGTCTTCTCAGGAGACTTGAGGCCCTTAGGCTCTCAGGCCCCAGGAGGGACCCTGAGCTTTGAGATGCTTGTTTTCTCTATTCAGACAACAGTATCTATATCCAGGGAGGCTCGGTCACTCAAAGACAAAGGCCTGGTGGGATCACATGGGGGCTTGTTGTAGTGAGGCCCCACGTGACGGACCACATTGGAGGAGACACCCGGGGTTGTGCAGTTATTCTCTAAACCTGATGGGCCTTCTTGACCACCGGGAGGTAGGTCAAGGTGTCTAATCAGATGGCCCTCCTCCAGACTGTACCCAGAACATGGTGGGTAAATGGGACAAGACTGAGCAGGGGAGAGCAAATGCAAAATGGTCCCAGAAGGGACAAGACTGTCAATAGTTCTACCCCAGACATGTATACAGGCTAACACACATATATGCATCACCCAGACATAGGTACTCATAGGACAATGACAGACAGACAGACAGACAGACAGACACACACACATGCACACACAATTTTTCTGTGTTGGTGCTGCTGAGTCTGCCTTCCCCAAGCCCTTTGAGGCTTGAGGCTGGAGCCGGCTGGAAACACCTCAGTGAATTCCGGGTTGGGCCTCAGGGCTGAGCCTATGACCTTTATTTGGAGGTCATGCTGGGAGCCATCAAGGTAGTGATTATAATTATCACTGGAGCACTGGGTCTATTTCCTCCTCCCTGAAAGACTGTTACAGTGATGCAAGCATTGTGTGTAGGTCTGCCCAGCTTTGCTCAAGCCCGCATGACCCTGTGAAGATGTTGTATCCTGTCCACACACACACACACACACACACACACACACTCACCCCCCACACACTCATGTTCACACTGTGGGGATGGCCCAGGGCAATCCTGAGCATCTCTAAGCAACAGTAGTAGATAAGGCCACCCTGTGGGCTGTCCCTGCTGGGCCTCCAGGTGTTCCTTTACTGAGCAGATAACGTGTTGCTCTGCCGCAGGCTCTACCAAATGCATCCATGACCAGGGACACTTTCTGCATTGTAAATTCGGTTTCACTCTGTGAGCCCTGGAGCCCAAGGGCTGCTGTTTCTGGGTCACAGTCAGCCAGGCCTCTCCTGCTGCTTCTCACATGGGCCTAGAGCTAGTTCTGGCTCAGGTGTGGGGGTCAGCCTCCTTGTCTTTTTGAACCTTCTGTGACCCTGCTGAATCCCTTGAGCCCTGACCACAGCCTCCACTCTCCCTGTATCAGATGGTTCAGGTCACTTCTAGCTGGAACCAGAGGGAGGCCTCAACCCTGCTCAGGGTTCCTGGACGAATGTGGCCCCAAGGGACAGGGGGCAGCCTCAGCTGCTTGTCTCATCCATGGAAGGTTCCAGAACCCAAAAGTGAAGGCAAAATGGAGATGAAGCAGTTCTGGCCGGTGTGAGATCTTGGCTGGATTCCTGGCATCTGCTGCCCGGGGGACCCATGTGGTCTCTTCTTAGGGATCCAGTATCATTTCTTTCATCAGTGGGAACTGCTTAAGAGAAATCTGGGACAGCCCACAGATTGCCTCACAGACAGATACAGAAGGCAGGCAGAGGTTCCTGGCAGACGAGGGCAGGCAGACAAGCAGACACCTACCTCCAACACATACAGTGCTTCCCTGCCCTACAAACAGAATCCAAACACAGCCCCAGTCACACCCACACTCTTAAGTGACAATCAATATTTCCACTGAGATCTTTCTGTTGCCACTCTGGCTTGGGACAATTTTATAACTATTTCTGGGCTGAAACTTTTCAGGAGAAGTTTACATCTTTACCTCTTCCTTCTTCCCCCAGAGCCACTTCCTCTAGGATGGGCAAATCTGGCATCCTTGAGATGTTTGTCAGATGAATAGGGCCAGGGGTCAGGGTCAGGGTCAGGGATATGCAGATGATAGCTCTAGTCTGCTTAGATCAGACATCCAGAAAGCTGGGGACAGCATCACTTCTCACAAGAGGTATACATACTGATTGTGGTATGCAGTGCTGCAAGGCCCCAGTAGCAGCCCTAATGTGTGACTGGTAGAGAGGGTGTCACTGTTTTAACAATACTCAGGGAGCCTGAAAGAAGGGGCTCCACTGGGTCTCTCTCTGTCAGGTCTGGTCTGTCTCCTCCCACACAGGCTTCCCTCTAGCAGCGCCCTCAGCTGCCTGGCTCACTGTCCTGGGAAGGGAGAAAGAACTTAAGAAACCTGTACTACACAGCAAGATCTTGTTTCTAATAACCCCAGACCCTAAAAACTTTGAGTTCTCACAATGCCACACAATGTAGACACCACTGCTCTGAAAACCATGTGCTTTATTCGGAGCCTCCCCCTGGGTCATAGAAAAGCTGCAAACCACGTGGTTTGGTACAAGGCAAAGGCTAAGGGAATGTAGGACATCCCTCACCGTCTGGGGCCCTCATCATCTGGGCCTCAGACTTCCCTGGTCAACATAGCTCTCAGCTGAATTCTTCAGGACCCATCTGAGCCCTCAGTATCACCATCAGCCAATGAGTAAGGAAACAGGTGGGAGGCAAGGGTCAGGGGCCTTTCCAAGGTATGGGCCTCTGTCCTCCACCTAGGGCCTGCAACATGCCACAGCCACGGGCTTCTCATGTCCTAAGAGCCTAGTGGCTCTAGGTTTAGCTCAACTCACAGAGGAGAATCCATGGAGGGCGGGGCACGCCTGCGCACAGGGGAGTGAGCGGGCAAACCCCTCCCCTGGCTAGCTGGCCCCGCCCCTCAGTACAGGTCGGCAAAGGGCTTGGAGTAGTTAAACATCAGGTAGTCCATGTAGTAGAAGTCGTAGGTACGCTGCCGCTGCAGGGTGGAGAGCTGGGCGAAGTACTGATGGGTGATCCTAGTCGTGGTGCGTGCCTCCTGGGAGTGCCTATCCTTGAACCTCGGGAAGGTCAGGTTCCCAGGCGCATGGATGAGGCTCAGGAAGAAGTTGGCATCGTCCTCCATGCTCTCGAACTTGCCCACGAAATCATAGTCGATAAGGCAGGGGCTGCACAGCCGGCTGACGTGGTCCCAATGGATGTCCATGCCCACCGGCCGGTGCACATCCAGCAGGTACTGGACGAACTCGGGGAACCGCACACCGGAGCCAGTCCGCAGTGCCTCCCGAGAGGCGTTGGCCCGGTAACGGGCCAGGATAGCTTTGCCAAAAACCGGGTGATAGTAGCTGTTGGGATGCTCAAACTTGTCTCGAAAAGCAGAGACCAACCTCTCGAAGGGCTCCCGGACAAACAGCATCTTGGTGTAGGTGCTCAGACGGTGCACGATGCCCTGGCGGTCGAAAGTGTCCAGCCGCTTGAGGGCACTGCCGTAGTGGACCGTATTGTGTTGGATATCTGCAGTGGATGAGGCTAGTCCTGCCAACACCATGAGTACACGCTTCCAGTTGGAGCAGCCTGCCTTGGGCACCTCGCAGTACAGCACGCGGTGGCGGTCCTCCACGAAGATGCGGGACACGTGTCGGGGCGTGACGGCCCTGCGGCTGCTGCTGGCCCTATACTTGGCACAGGCCTCCTGCATCACACGCTTGCGCTCCTGTTGGCTCTGATGCAGACTGACCCAACGACTGTCCAGGGTGTGGGGTCTCGGTTGGATAAAGGACTCAGAGGAGCTGTTGGCTCTGATGGCCCCTACAGCTGGCATCTTTTTGATGAGCAGCCGACGTCGGCGCTGCCGGAGTCTCAAAGGAGACCTTGCCTTCAGATGAGGTTGAGGCTGATCAGGTACCTGCTGGCTGAGGCCCCTGGGGGACCGGCTGGGCAAGTCACGAGTGACCCTTTCTGTGGGTGTCTTCAAGTTGCCATCCTAGGATAAGAAGAGAAGATGGTTAAGGGTGGGCAGGGCAGCTGGAAGTAGATAGCCACATAACCGTGGCCCTTTACACGGCAGGGGGTTTTCCTACTCCCCAGCTTGTGTTTCTCCCCGGATTAAGAGAGGGGGAGATAGCTGGTGAGATCCCCTTGTCTGATTCTGCACCAGCACCTAGTGGGCCTTACAGTAGTTCAGAAATGTATGACCCAAGATGCAAATATAATTCCTAGCACAAGATGGCACAGTCCTCCTAAGAACCACAGCCTTTCTAGGGTGGGCCATGCAGGCCTGCAGGAGGTTGGCTTAGATTTACTGTGTCTATTACAGCAGTCCAAAGGAGTCATCTAACAGGGAAGGGAAATTCATGGATCCAAAGCCCTGGGCTTTGTTCCCAAGGCTCCTGGAAAGGACTGGACACATTTTTCTTTCCATGAATGGATTCATAGTAAGCTCCAAATTTTCTTCCCTGCCCTCCCCAACTTTTCCCCAGGCAGCATGTGCGGTGATTTATCTGATTCTCTGAACTTACATGCTGGGGCTGCTGTGGCCTGATGCTGAACTTTATGCCTAAAAAGCAACAGAAAAGAGGGATGTGTTAAGCAGTGCAAGTGCTATGTCATGTGCCTCTCAGGGACCTGCTTAGAGGTCCCTGCTCTGGATGCCCAGGATGGATGGAGCTTGGGGTGGGCTTTGGGGAATAGAGCTCCATACTAGAGCCCCTCCATCCCTTACCCACATGGAAAGTGAGGTTGCAACGCTGATTACCTGCTGATACTAATTTTTCTGCATCTCATTTCTTGACCTCTCCAGGACAGTCTGAGAAATACCTGCTCAGGTGTACCACACTCCTGCCCAGTGCAATGGTAAGGGTTTCTTTGGGGACACTCTCTACCCCAGCCTGTCGTTAAGTCAAAGAGATAATATCCTTCAGACGCTCTGTCCAGCCTCTCTCCATTGTGCCCTGCTTTCAGTCCAGGTTGTTCCCATACTTTTTCTTAAAAAATTATTTATTTTTATTTTATGTGTATGAGTACATATTGCCTGCATGGATGTAAGGTACACCTGCATCGTACAATGCTCACAGAGGTCAGAAGAGGGCGTCAGATCCCCTGGAACTAGAGTTATGGAGGGTTGTTGGCCACCATGTGGGTTCTGGGAACTGAACCCAGATCCTCTCCAAGAGTAGCCAGTGCTCTTAATTGCTGAGTCATCTCTCCAGCCCCATCCCCGTACTGGGAATATGGTACATTTATGCACACCAGACCCATGGATGAAACGCATTTCATCTCCCCTGGGAAGTTCCCTTGTCTATTCACTTCATAGCTTTGATCATCTCTGGCTATGTGAGAGCCAAATGTCCCTATCTGGTACATCCTGGTCTCCTTTGAAGGTGTGAGCAGAGTCCAGGCATAGACAAGTGCTGATTGGTGACTTAAGGAAGATGGAAAGGGATGTGCACATCACTGGCTGTGTTAGTTACTTGTCCAGTTGCTGTTACAAAATACCTGTCACAAGCAACTTAAACCGGGAAAGATTTATTTTGGACCACTGTTTCAGAGGGATCAGTCTATGGTTGCTTGGCCCCGTGTGTTTGGGCAGAACATTATCGTGGTGGGAGCCTGCAGTAGAGGAGAGCCAGTCACTTCACAACTGGCCAGGAAACAGGCCTTAGACAAGCTACCTTCAAAACCCCATCCCCAGTGACCTATTTCCTCAAGCTACTTTCACTTCCTAAAGTTCACAGACTTCCTAAAACAGCCCCAACTGGCTATTTTAACCTCCAACACAATAATCTTATATGAATTATTTTTCTCTTTGTTGAGACAAACTGAGAGAAGCAGCTTAAGGGAGAAGGATTTATTTTGGCTCATTCATTTCATGGGAGAGGAAGAGTGATGACCAGGGCTCCGTCTGTTGTTGCAGAGTGACCTGTCTCATCTCAGCAGACCAGAAAGCAGAGATATTAGGCTAAAACCAAGGCCAGGTATGAACTCTCTCGCCAGCCCCTACATCTGTCATCTAGGACGTGTGTCCAAAAGTGTTTCAAGACTTCCTCAAACAGTGCCACCAGGTGGGGGTCAAACACATAAACCCTTGAGGGGCATGCCATATCCAAGCTATAACTATCCTCTGGAGGGACACTTAATATCCAAAGCACAATGCTTGTCAAGTTCTGGAATGTCCCTTTTGTCCACCCAAGAGGCCCCTCATTAGGGCTGGGCTGGAGTCACCCAGGATAACAAGTTTTACTGACCCAAACCTTTGGGTGGGGGGTTCTACATCATACGGTTCAGTGTGTTTGGGGGCAGTGTTCAGTGGGAAGGCAGATTTCTCTTTGTGGGAGCCCATTCAGCAGTTTGGGTTTCCTTCAGACTTCACCCGTCCATTGAGTTGTCAGGGACTCTGTTCCTAGGCTCAGGGGTGGGCATCTGTGCTCTGAAACTGATGAAAGTCAGTCACTAACAGAAGCAGCTGCCTCTTAAAGTGAGCCAGAGCTGCCAGAAAACATGTTGGGTGATGTGACAGTCACACCCAACCAATTCCTGTATGATGTTGAAACAGAAAGGGGGTGGTTCTGATGGGCTAGCTATCCCTTGCTACCTCTGTGAACTGGACAAGAGGCCCTGGGCTGGAGTAGCTGGTGAGCGGACATTTGGGTCTTCCCTAACCCCAGTCTCTATCGACTTCTCTGTGGGGTCCAATTTCTCAGCTTCTGTGCTAAGACATTGAGCTCATGCTGCCCAGTTTGAGACTGTGCCCCATATCTCCTTCATTCATTAACAAGCGAGTGGGGGAGAGCAACAAAGGTCCCCTCTGGCCTACATGCTCTGACTTTTCTAGGACTCTTTCTTTCTGTGTGTGGGCATGTGTGTGTTTTGAATGTGTATGTGTGTGAGCATGCATGTGGAGGTGTCTTCCTTGGTTGTTTTCCATCTTATTTTTCATGTGTATGTGTGTGGTTTGTACATGTAGGTGTGTGTGTGTGTGTGTGTGTGTACATGTGTGCCTGTGCATGTGTGTGTGGAGGCCCAAGGTTGACACTAAGAGTCTTCCTGACTCACTCTGCACCTTAGTCATTGAAGCAGGATCTGTCTCTGAATCTAGAGCTCATCACTCAGCTAGATCGGCTGGCCAGAAAGTCCCTAGGATCCTTGTCTGCACCTCCCCAGCACTGGAACTGCAGGCCTGTGTGCCATGCCTGTTTTTTGTTTGTTTGTTTTTTTGTTTTGTTTTGTTTTCTAATGAGTTCTGGGGCTCTAAGTCAGGTCCTGCTGCTTGCATGGCAGGCACTTTACTGATCGAGCCAACTCCATATCCCCCGGAAACTTCTATTCTGAGACAGGGTCTCACTTTGTGTACGATACTGGCCTCAAATTTGTAATCTTCCTGCTTCAGTCTCCCCAGTGGTAGGATTGCAGGTGTGGGCTATCATGCATAGCTTCTGGAACCTTTAAATTCCAAGAGATGTTGTGTATTAGGTACTTTTCTCATGCATGGCTGTGACCAAAATACGTGGCAGGAACAACTTAAGGGAAGAAGGACTTATTTTTTGGCTCACAGTTTCAGAGAGATTTCAGTCCATCATGTGGGAAGGCATGTGGAATTCGCGGTAACAGGAGCATGGTAACAGGAGCATCTGGCCAACTGGGCTAGGAGCAGAATCAGAAGCGGGTAGAAGGGGGCCAGAGAGATGGCTCCATAGTTAAGAGCACTGGGTGTTCTTGCAAAGGACCTGGGTTGGGTTGCCAACACCTACATAGCAATGAACAATCATGTAGAACTCCAGTTCCAGGGGATACGACGCCCTCTTCTGGTCTCTGCAGGCATTGCACACATGTGGTATACATTCAGGCAAAACACTCAAACACATAACATGAAAATTAATAAAAATAATTTTTAAAAAATGGGTATAAACTTAAAAGCCTGACCCTAGTGACCCATTTCTGCCAGTCAGTCCTGACCTCCTAAAGGCTCCATGACCTTCAAAATAGCTCCAGAAACTGGGAACATGTGCTCAAAACATGAGCTTGTATGGGACAGTTCATACTCAAACCATAACAGCAAAGGTGGGCCTTGGGCACACTGCCTCTTCTCTGACCCTTTGGACTGAGAACAGATGTGTGTTCTTTTATGATAAATTACAGTATGCCTACCTTCCTGGGCATTCCTAAGGCTCTGTGTGTGTCTGCATATAAACATGTAGGGAAGATTTGAAACAGGCTTTCTAGTCTCTTCCACCAGGGGGAAGCTCCATGCAAAAGTGGGGTGAGCAGGGGATGCCTGGCTTAGAGGTGAAGCCTCTGCTCAGTGTCCCCCTCAGCCCTAGAGCCCATTCTTTCCTCACTAACCATCCCCCTCTTCCTTAATCCATCCTCCTCAGTCCCCAACACGAGCTTCTAGAGCTCATTTCTCTCTGGCATGTGGGGTCCTCTCCTGCCGCCGATGACAGATTTGTTCACCAGAAGGGACTCTCTGTAGCTGCTCCGTTTTCCTCTCCACCACCGGGTTTCCTTAATTATTTTCTTCTGGTGATGGCAGCTGGCTCTGCTAAATCACCTCTCCTCCTCAGCGTCTTAGATGCGGGGATTTACTCTGGTTGTCACCCCTGTCAACCTGTCAAGGTGTGATGGTGCTTATTTATATTCTTTTTCTGGAGCAAATGAGTCATGCTAGATTTGCCCAAGTGAGGGAATGGGGAGCCACTTGCACAGGCGTCCTGTCACTCAGTGAAGTCAGGCCACTGTGCATATGGCTGTGAGCCCTGTCTCCTTTCACCCACAGGAGGACCCTGTCTTGTGCACACTGCCCCCAAGCCTCAAGGATTTTCTATGGGTGGCCAGTTCTGGGGCTGCAAGGGCCCAGGCTAAAGGGAAATTCCCTCCTGGACACAGCCTGATGACACATTTGCCCACCAAGCTAAGTTGGCTGCAATTGCCCCTTGGAAAAGAAAAAAATGTCTTGTGGATAATAACAGATCTCATGTGGAGTCTGTGAGTGTGCCCAAACTTTGGGCAGCTCATTAGTTAAAGATAAACCATATCCTTACATGGCCAATTCTGAATAGACAGAAATGTATAAAGGAAATGCAAAGGGCTCTCTCCTCTTCCAAGGGCCTAGTTTTCACATGGAAGAAGTGGATTTCCATGTGCTGCTCAAATAAAGGTTGAAGCTCTGGACAAGCCAAAGCTAGAATCTTGGGACTCTGCAGGTTGGGGTCTGCGCATGCTGCAGAAGTCTGTACTTCAGGACCCCGGACAGCTCCATGAAGCGCCCTGGAAGGGTGGGCTGATCACTGCGCTCCTGATGCACCCTGAGGACTGGTATCACTGACAAGGGAGACCTAAGGGGAGGGAGGCTTTGGGTACATCCACCTCACCCCTCCGAAGGTCCTAAGTAAACATACAGTCTAGATAAAAATAGTGAATTTAAGTTCACAGTTGAATTAATACAGTTACACAATATTGAACTCAATATAAATAAACCCTGTAAGATATAAAATTGAAGGAGTTTTAACCCTTTAAAAATTTACAGCCACTTTTGAAAGAGCTGTATCCTTGCTCTGGAGC